ACAGTTAACTTAGATGGAAATCATGAGATGGCAGTCACGTAGTTGTTTGGCTGTATTGTCAAAAGGTGACTGATTATCCCAGTTGGAAGGACAAAACAGAATGTTTCTTGGTTCGCTGTTTATATCTATTCTTTTTTAATGTACTTCTCTCTTGTGAGTCTGTGCCATTGTATTTTGTTGGCTTTCAGTCATTGTACAGAGAGTTTCTATTTGAATCAATTAACCCAGATTTGCCTTTTTGGGGGTAAGTCCCATATTTGCTGTTTTCAAGCTTGGGGTAGAATACATTATGCATCACTACAATACATGATTGTAGGATCATTGTTGACTGGATTTTAGTTTACTTCCTGACATCATTGCTTTGCTAATTTTCAAGGTGCCACTAGGTTGTGTTACTCCCTTTGCACTTGTGAATGAATCAGCATGGTATGCGTCTTAATCTTCTGTAATCTATCTTCAATGCATCCACGCTGTTGCTGCTATATAACTTCTTGGCAAATAAATTCTCATTTGTTCCTGTTGTTTGTATATTTTCTTTGGCAATAATAATATCTTACATTTTCTTTTGTGAAGGCATGTTTCGCTGTTGTTAGATCAAGGATTTAGGACCAAGGAGTGCTGCTTCTTCCACCCATTGTCCAATGATACATCCATCTGTAAGTGACGGGAGTTTGTTGAAAAAGTGATGCCTTTATCTATATATATTAATTGGTACACACGTGCGTTGCACATAAATAATTGAGTTATAATTTTAATTTTGTTTTATTTATATGCTTTACAATGTTTATTTGTTCAACAAAGTTGTTAGATGTAGTTTTTGTACTATTTATTATTTAGGAACATGAGACATTGGAAGTGAATACAAAATAACAATTGTATATTTGAGAAATAATTGACAAATTGAATATCATAGCCTATTTAATTTAAAGAGTTATTATAATAAAAAGGACCATAATGTCCACTTGACTTCAAACCAAATTATCGTAATAAAGAACTAAAATAATTGAAGTATGGTCTAAGTTTGTCAGAATAGTGTATAGAAATAGAAAAAGTGAAACTAAGTTTCAAAACATATAAAAAATCTGATTTTAAATTCCTCAAGAAAACTAACATGGAGGAGTGCAGAAAAAAACAACAATGGGTTATGTGATCAGCCTTAGTGGACCAATGTATTTCAACATGATGAACATTGAAAATTTGTTCTTCCTTTTGGATTTGAAAAATACTTCCAAATGATGAATAGGCAAAATTTCTATTGCCAAGAACTCTCATTTCATTGCACAAAGTTTATTTTTCTCATATTAATGTCTTTAAATACTTTGCACATATTACTCACAAACACACCAATGTAATCATTTTACCATGAACAGTTAGCTCTTAGTTGAAACCATAATTAATTAAGCTCTTTCATCAAGGACCACGGAAGCCTTAGTTGACTTAAACATCACCAGAGGCCCCATTTCAAAAGAATACCACATTCAAGTGTTTGGGGGAGATAGAAGGATGGTTTTGTAGTTTTCTTGTCGATGAACTTTAAATAACCTTGAGAATTTGTTAAGTAAAAAATAGATAAAAGAAATTAGAGAGAATGACATGCTTGCAGAACTTGAAAAAAATAGCTTAAAGAAGGATATAATTGAAATTTGACCCGCCAAGCCAAACTCTTACTACATAATTTGTCAATAAGTGCCTTAGAAAAAAAAAAAAAGCAAAATTCATTAATATTGGATTGAGTTGGCTTCTATGGAATCATGGCTTCAACATTGACTTAGGATTAACCGACTTTAATAGAATTATACCGAAAGGAATTAGATGGTACAAAGTTCACACAAAAAATGACATAACCATGTGATAGATCGCATTATACATAAAAAAGCGTGTTAGGAACAAACTATAAAACAGAGATGCACAAAACTTAATAACGTTGTCAAAAACTCGATAACAAAAATAAATATTTTCCATCAGTAACAATCGAAAAAAAAGTACCATATTACTTTCATGGGTTGCATTGACCCTCTCATGAAATAAGGTCATCAAAGAGATATCCCAGCAACCATATCTTCATTGTTCCATGCCAGTAATGGCGCTATATTCGTACAGACTTCAAGAACTTGTTTTAGTTAATTTTGCATTATTAGTTCATATAACTAAATATATGAGATTAAAACACAAAGAACCTACATCAAACATGAGCAGTTAAATTTGTTAATTACCAATGTTGGGATACAAACTCAATTATGATCAAAGTCATTTCCCAAGTCTTAACTCTAAAAAATCCTGGCAATCACAAACCTGCTGCAGCCCACCCACAAAGAAGCAAACAAATAAGGAGAAGAATAAAATATATTCCCAAAAAAGGGTGTTGCATCAATATTAGCAATGGCATAAGGCGCATAAAAACTCGGTAGTCGTTCAATATTTCTTTAACTCATGCCAGTCATTGAATAAAGAAAAGTTTTAGCAAATATCAAAAAACTCCAATAACATGAGTTATGTATTTTAATTTTCTTGTATATGTGCTTTTGATGTCAACTTATAAAAATGTGGCACCAACATGTTGCTCATAGCTTCGTTGGAAAAAATGAACATGGAGGGCCGAATGTCTAGTAGAAGTCCCAAACATATAATCTGGTATGTCGTTACTTTTGAGTTTGACACCTTTCTCATTTCATAGTAGAACATGAAGGAAAAAAATAATATGACTGATTAATATACCAACAAAATTATATGGTTTTCAATTCTTTTATCAGAAAATTTTAAAGGAAGAATTCATCGAGAACTCTTGTGATATACCCCAACTTCAAGGGGAAAGAGTGAAACATGAGCAGCTAGTTTATGATGTAAATGCTTATTATTGTTATTCTATCTTGAAATTCACGGTGCAATAGTGAAATATTTTGTAAATTAAACAAGGGGGAATAGAACAAGCACGTACTTTGAATTCTTTTGCACAAAAATTCGGCATCAATCTGGACTAACACTTGTGAAGTTATGGAAATCAAAAGGAAATTATGCAATGTTGTAGACAAATGATATGAATGACATTTTTTTAAAGTGCAATAACTTTGATCAAAGGATAGACCTTCCACATAAATGGAGCAAACTAATCTAACACACTATTGTATGGCTGGCAGAATGGGGCTGCTCCTTGTTTTCTCACGTGAAAAATTTGTTAGAGCTAAGAATCCACCATTTTGGGGCTTTTAACATGAGAAGGATCAAAAAATATACTTTCACGCTATGAGTTTGGAGTTTTCGTGACTCAAATATGTGACCCGAACAATAATGCCATCTTAATTTAACAAAGAATATTAAAGGTAAGTTTATAAAAATAAGGTTGGTTGGAAATATAGCTAGCAATGCTTGAACAATACACGCCTATCCTAATATTTTTTGGGTCACATAGACCCTTTGCAGTTTATGCGAAAGGTGTGTGTATTGAGTACGACTTTTTTTCACTATCTAAGACTATAAGCATCATGATAGCTAATTAATTAAGAAATTAAAAAGACCCAATACATTTAAACGTATGTGCTAGCATGCTATAGCAATATTCCACTGTAGTTGCTATAGTGTACTCCCATTCAATTTCTTGCAATGTTAGATCATCACCAACCATGTATAAGTAATGGCAAGAGACCCACCGGAACGTAATAGGACATATTCGGATCCATGGAAGGTGATATCATTCGGATCCACCTTTGTTCTCTAATTTTATCCCTTCACTACATATCATACCGTGAGACAAACAACAACCCAAACTCCCATTACTTAAAATCCAGCTGGAAAGACATCACTAACATCTTAAGCACAAGATATTAGACTTCTTAAATTGGGCACATAAACTGAAATTGTAGTTTCAAATAAACACAGTCTCCGCAAAGAAGAAAAAACAAAGAAGCTTCCAATTCGAACGACTCCAAAGAGACATCTAATATATTCATCACAACGATTTCAAATAAAAGTATCAATCAGAATAATGCTAAATGCAAAATGAATTATCATCAAATAAGAATATAGAAGACACCATTGATATCACAGATAAGATAGGAAAATCAATAGAAAAATAATACCCGATCACCTAATATAGTGCAGCATAAAGAACTTTTTATTTTTTTTCAAAAACAGACATTCCAAATCATTGATGTCAATGGCAACCCAATGATGCAACTACCAATCAACAAACTCATTAAACCCCCCAAAAAAATGGCAAACATATTTAATAGACTAAAATAACATGATATTGGCATGTAGGAATAAAATGATCTGTTAGCTTTTACCCTTCTTTGTTTATTATTTTTTATCGGGGGGATTTGTGGGGAGGCGAAGGGTGAAAATTGGCCATAAACAAAGACAAGTGTATACATTCACAAATTGCTTCAAAAATAAAAGTCGAATAGACGGGGGAGCAGTTTACAAAAACAACCAAATAAACACCAAACATAACTAATAAGAATTGAAAAAGATATCAATTAATATGGAACAAAATACCTTAAGCCTTACTCTTGAACGACTCCATGATCAATAAATTGAGCAAAGAAAGTTGACCAAAATATATCCCATAACCGTACCGGACTAAACACCGGAAGGCTCAAAAAGATCAGACGTTGATTGTATTTCATGTAGCAAGACGTGTTTAGTTGTAAAATGATCACAAGCTAAAAACTAACAAAATAAGCACCAAATAAGAAACAGAAATCATATCAAACACTAATTCAATGCTTCTCCCATTAGATTAAAAATTCAACACAATCACAACAAAATCGCCAAATTTGGCAAAATCCAAAGCTAATAGCACATGCTGAAGTTGGTAGAATTTTAGGAGGGATGCCTTTGGAAATCAGATTTAAGAAAACATGCCTGCAATCCTACATATTTAGCCCACCAATCTCCTTACAGCCAATTTTATAACCATAGGTTTTAAAATCCCAATTTCCTTCTCTCATCAAGCCAAAAAAAAAAAAAAAATCAAAGAACACAAATATTATCCGAAAAGATAAATGGAGTACTTGTTGATGAAGAAACGGAGTACCGCTGGTTCGCAATGGTAACAACCATGGTGTGTCTGCATCTTGGACAGGAAGGGAGAAGAAGAAATATGCAGAATTGGTGAAGAGCAACATTGTTGGACCACAATTATTCATATCCCCAGTCGTAACTGGAGTAGCCATTGATGTCACAACCATTAATGTGTGGAATCTATACAACCGAAAAAGGAGAGGTGGAGGACATATTCAACCAAAAGAGAGGAAGATGATGGGGTGCCAATGAATTTTTTGTGTGACATTAATTATGAAGGATAAAAATGAAATAGTCATATTATTGAGGGGCAAAGATGGAAAAAAAATGTTTTACAAGTATGTTGGTATTTTAAAGTAGTATAGATACATTAATGTTAGTTACTAATGTATATTGTTTCCTCTCTTAATTAAGATTATCGTTAAATGTTTTTTGTTATTTATATACTTATATCAATCGTGGGTATCTGTAGACGACTATCAATTAGTTTTAGTTGAACAACTTATCGATTTTTACTTTTAAGATAGATTCCCTGTTAGGATGTCTACTTTCACATGTGGAATTTATGCTTCCAAATCTCACTAGTGTTTTCAATCCGCACCAATGCCCATAGGCCAAATTTTTATTTGGATGATGGAATTTTGATACTTAGAAAAGTTTAAGTTCTATGCAATGTTATCCTTTGGGAGATGCTTATTCAGTGGCATCACTTGCAATGTGAAATAACACAATGGCAGTGTGAGGAACGGGACCTCAGAACCTTACAAATCCCCAGGTCGAATGGAAATAGGGGGTGCATACCGAATTAATAATGTCGGGAAGATATTATACAGTATAGGAGAATCTTTCTAGATATGTGGCATCCCACTAAAAAACTTATGATTGAACTTTGATAGATCTTGAGTGGATTCTTTGTTTTAGTTTCCTTTTCTGAATAATTTTAAGATATCCCTTGTTGGATGCGTTGGTATGTTTTATTTATTTGTTTTTTTTTTTTTGGGGGTGGGGGAGAGGATAGACGGAGGGAAAGGCTACAGATTAGAAACCTTTATTAATGTGAGACAAATTTAATTACAAGGGTTCAAGATTTGTGACTGAAATGTTTAGGGGAACATAAGGGGTCTCTGGTAGGTGAAAACAATTACAACGCCCTCTCACAGTGTTTGCGATTAGTTTGCTTATTGTCTAGAGTATCAATTTGAACTTACTTTGTTTGAAGTAATACAGGTCAAGGTTGGTTTCACATTGCTGAATAATGCACTAGCTCTATTGATATTGTGGCAATTGTTTGGTTAGAGAAGATATGTGACCTCTTAGGAAGCCAATAAGAAAGAGGCTTAAGTCGTTGCTTCAAATCTGATAAATGATTTTTTTATTTTTCCTAGTCTTGTTTGGTTATATGAGGAACAGGACCTCCGAACCTTACAAATCCTCAAGTCAAACGAAATTAGGGATTGCATGCAGACTTATTAGTCATTAATTAGATAATTAATAATGTCGGGAAGCTATTATGTTGTATTTCTGAAGATATGGTGTCCCACTAGAAAACTTATGATGGGACTTTGATAGATCTTGAGTGGGTTCTTTGTTTAAGCATCATTTTCTGATTAATTTTAAGATGCCCCAGTCGAATGCATTGGTATGTTTGGGGGTGGGGGTGGGGGTGGGGGGGGAGGGGGGAGGGGGGAGAAGAGGGGGGCTACAGATCAAAAACCTTTGATTCAAGACAAAATTAGTTACAAGGGTTCATTATTTGTGATTGAAATGTTTCGAGGGAAATAAGGGGTTTCAGTTAGGTGAAAAGTGAAAACAATTACAATGCTCTGTCACATTGTTTAAGATCAGTTTGCTTGCATTCTAGAGTATTAAATTGAACTTATTTTGTTAGGGGTCATGCTGATCAAGATTAGATTCACATTGCTGAATAATGCACTAGCATTATTGATATTTTGGCCATAGATACCAAGATCGTAGGTACTCTAAGCGTCCCACGATCCGAGGTTATACGACCTGAAACTGAGTGGGTTTGTGATCTAGATCGCTTAAATTGATGACCCTAATTTCTAACTCAAACCAACTAGAAGCACAATTTAGGTAATCTTAAATTATTGTGTTAGCCTTAAATTGTAACATTAGCTGGTTATTTCTTTATGCTTATGATCTTTCAACTTATATCGATTTATTGTGATTAGATTATCGTTCACTTTAGAACTCGTATTAGAAATACAAAATACAGATAAGTTAGCTATGTGTATATAATTGTATAAGTGAAAATGACCCAAATATCAGTTACAAAGCGAACCACGACCCACAATAATGTACCAACTAAGTCTCACTGGTCGTACTGAGAAAAGTGTCATACTACGCATCTGTACGTGTATTACATACCAAATTGACCCACAATCTAGTTAACATTATTGTGGCAATTGCATGGTTAGAGAAGATATGCGACCTCTTAGGAAGCTTGTAAGAAAGAGGCTTAAGTCATAGCTTCAAATTTGATAAAAGGGCTTTTTTTTTTTCTAGCCTTGTTTGGTTATGCGAGGAACAGGACCTCCGAACCTTACAAATCCTCAGGTTGAATGGAATTTGGGACTACATGCCGACTTATTAGTCATTAATTAGTTAATTAATAATGTCAGGAAGCTGTTATGATGTATGGGAGAATCTTTCTGAATATATGGCATCCTAGTAGAAAACTATGATTGTACTTTGGTAGATCTTGAGCAGGTTCTTTGTTTAATCTTCCTTTTTTGAATAACTAGTAAGTGCAATTTTGAAACCGAATAATCATTTCTTAAAATAGAGGACCACTTTTTGCAATATCCATAACCTAAGAAAATAATGTTGATCAAACAATCAAGAACCACATTTTCTAAGAAACTCTACAAAAAACGCAAGCTAAACTGATTTTACTAGTATATTTGGTGCAAAAACATTATTCTATATTTTATCATTCTTGCTCACGTTTTTTAGATTTCTCTTATTTTATTGTTTGTGGAGAAAAGAAAGAATTTCGATGACAATCAAAGTAATTTCTTGTATGAACTAAAATAGCACACAAGAAAGAAGCTGAACTAACAACCATGTAACTTAGAATTAGTGAAGGTCAATTGATGTTGGAGTAAGAACATATATTTGTTAAGCATGTGCCAAGTAGAAGAATTTTTGGACACTTTGTAGGACTTAATACTTAATAGTTAGTGTAGAAGAATCTATAAACTCTTCTCATATGAAGTAGAGAAAAAGAAAGGAATGAACTTAAAACACATTTGTATTGTTTACAAATTTCCAAAAGAAAAAATAGTTAGGAGGAAAAATAAATTTAAGCATAAGTTAATTGTTCTCCTTGGACCAACAAAGCCAATTGCATCCTGATGTCATCAAAAGATCAACAGTGAAGAAGAAGAGCAAGAGCAACAATAATTGATATTTTTTGGCAACCAGGATAAAGATGTACTTATTTTTTTGTTTCTGCTGATAACCCTATTGTGAACAGAATAAATGAAGATAGAGAAATGGTTTTCTAAATAAATCAAGCTCATGGGAAGTGGGCAACATTTGGGTCAGAAATTCTGATATTTTTACATTTTAGAATTCACCCAACAAGCAACATTTTACATTGTTCAATGATCTTCCCAAAACAAAAATAGTGTATACAGGATTAATATCAAGTGTTCACAAAAACTTTGAGGTTAGCCAAATTTATTGGAACCACATGAAAAAGATCACTGCTATTTCTTTGTTATGGCCAACTTTGTTCAATTCTGCAGCACAAATTGTCTTTTCGTTCTTATCTTTGGCCTTTTCCTTGCTGGTTGTTAATTCATTTTGACATCTTTAATTTCCTCAGTTTCTTGCTTGCTCATACGTTCTCATATAGTTTGTGCATCTCTGTAAGAAAATCGGAAGGTATTATTTACTTCATAATGTTAGCTTTTAGTTGCGGACAGAAGCAATATGATAGTTACTACTAAACCGGAGCTAATATTGTTATCCAATGAAAAGGAAGAGGATTAGAAGCAATGGAACAGCACCAAAAAAATGTTGATTGCTAAAACTATTATTCGTCAAGACCAATAAGACACATCCTCATATGCAAACACTCAGTTATATATAACCTTTCAGCATTGTACTCACATTCAACACTATGAATCATACGCATACTAAATCCTATTATATTTGGAGACAAATTGTTGTAGCTGAACAAATTAGATAACATAGAAGTATATCTTTCCATCTAAAATAGAATGGATGACACTCTCATCCAAAGAAATTAGACCTCTAATCCAAGAGGTAAGTTGATGCAGGCTTCTAATTATGGGTGCATTCGATTGATCAGTTTTGATCCCATCAAAAAATGTTGTCAATATTTATTGCCCATGATTGAGAACAATCCATTCTGGGTAATTATACACATTCACAATTCGTCAAATAATTCAAAAGAAATGATTGATACTAATGTCAACATGGTTTCAGTTATATTTTTTGTGGGACAAAAGCCCATCCCTTGATTTCTAGGTCGGACGACGTATACCCCACCGAACAAGTATATTCTTAATGTAACAACATAGATTCCGATAAACAACAAAAATATTATGAAGGACCAGATTCAATTTCTAACATGGTTCTTAAGTAGGAACAAGCAATATTTGACCACAAACATTGCAACTATGATTGGGAACAAGCAATATTGTCTGTTAAGAGCCTACTGAGAGATTGTGAAATAGCCCTGTGTCTTCAAATTCATACCAACCATTATATAAGATGCCAGTTTTAATGGCTTATGGTAGAATTATGCCTTACCACTCGAATAATCCATGGTGAAGATACAAATGATCAGTTGAAATAAGTACTCCAACAGCTTTTTTCCCGGAAAGTACAACTTTTTTTTACCAAGCAACATTCTTATAGAACCATGGAACATCACAAAAAGAGGGGATTTTCTTATAAAGTCACTCCACTGTGTGGCTTCTGACTCCTTATTTTTCTCCCCTGCGTACAAAAAGATAGACCACTAATAATCAACAAGTACAAGAAAACAGTTTGGAGCCTTGTCACTCAAATTGTATTCCAGCCATAATGTATTTTCCTCATTATTGCAACTGTAAAGTTGTTCTTTCACTACCTTGAGTCAATTAGTTAAGACACACTATACAAGAATTTGTCAAATTGTTTAATCACATGGATAGACAAAATCATGAAGACCAGATGTCCTGCTACATACAAGGAAACAACCTTTCAAAGAAAGC